AACATCTATGGTTTTGGAATATCCAATGGTACGCCAGGAGTGGGCTCTAGTACCTTTGCATCTGGTAGTTCCTTCAACAAAATTTCCTGTGTTATCAAGGAAACCGACTTTAGTAACTTTAACAGACGCCCTGGCTTCAAAACATTAGGACAAGAGTTTACCCCACTTACCGATACCAAGTGACACGAACTATAAAGAACAATCATCAGATTTCTGTATCAAGCAATAAGATCATTCTAAAGCTTGTATTTGCTTGGAAATAAAAACACACGCCAAATATCAAGAGAAGTGATGCTGTCAATCCCAGCAGAGGCACTAAAATAATTGCTAATAACCAAGACATGTACCCGGTTAAGATATGTGGACACTATTCCAGAAGGCAGGAGCTCAAGTCAAAAAGTGTATCAGTATCACAACTGAAATATGAAAATCACTTTGTCTTTCAGTTTCACAGTCAACCCACATACAGAGACACAAACAAAGAAGGAAATTTAGGATAGAACCTCCCAAGTAGAAGATATGTCTATCTTGAGCTTCACAGACATGTTTATATGCTAAATTAGTTGATTTAACTTGCCCATATCCACTTCAACAACCACCCAATATAACTTCCCCACACTAACCTAAGCTCTATTTGATCAAGAAAGTATAAAACAAAAAATTCAAGTATGGTATGCTGACAAAGTTGTGAAGGCTTGAGCAAGCACATCACATGCTAGTCATCTGATTTAGCAAAGAAACAAAATTGAAGAAGAAAATCCTTGTAATACAAGGGAAATTGTTCCCAGGCTTTGCTCGGTCCATTATTAGAAACCTACCTCGAGTGGAATTAGATTTATTTACAATCATATCAGTTCAAACCTTACCCCTTGTTATGGCAAATGAAGTTTAAGCACGCTTAAGGTTTAAAGAGTCAGCAGCAAAACTTGACACCAAAAGCTCATGCTTTCTCTTGTATTATGTTAAAATATGACGTCCAGGAGAGTATGAATCCAGAAATGACTGATTTATTTACTTTAGACACTCTAGCATGCCCAATGTAACAAATATAAGAAAGTATCGGCTACCACCTGAAACAGGATGTTTATGCTTACACATGAAAAAATTATTATTTACTCTTAAGAGTTCACCCATTTCAGATTTAGTAGTAGTCAATAAAACAACATGAGACAAAAAAGCGATGGAGGAAAACCTGTCCATGCCCCATATTTCTCAGAAACGAAATTATCAGGAGTTCTTTTGCTAATAAGTTAGAAATCAAAGGCAAAACTATGCTTGAGAAACCAAGTCCGTGATGTGCAGGAAAAGGGCCAAAGAAAAGAAAGTAGAAGTTGCATGTATAGGCAAATGGACCATTATCATGATTACTTTTCAGCTGAATGAAATGCAGTAAACACTTATTTCAACAGGGAATTGAAAAACCATACCTTGAATGATTCTATCGTTCCCTCAGCCCGAATGATACTGGCAAGAAAACCTTTAGCATCAAGGTCACCATTCTTCATAGGCACAATAAACCTGAGAAACGAATGCCAAAGAGTTGTCACGATGTCCATTCATGAGAATCTTTTTTTTTTTTGGGGCCATTACCATTTCAAAGTATACTGTCTACTCTTGGAGATTTTGATAATATACGTTTGCCAAGCTACTTCTACTGTAAACCAAGCAAAAGGCTTTCAGAAAAGAGTATCAGGTTATATACCTGGCATTGAGTAGTTTTGCAAGCTGAACAGCATCCTCTTGTCCAGAAACCAAAGTAAATTTTGGTAAAAGCTGCTTTATCACAGGTGTGATTACAATGTCAGCGCGTTCCTGTTCCAGGAAGTTCTTGTTGTACACACAGTGGGGTTCATAGTAAAGAGTCAGCTCACCCTGTGCAGAACTAACAAGATACCTGAAGCACATGTTAAGTGTAAGGTTAAGTTTGTCAAGGCTTGTCGATAGCATAGCATTCAGTGACATTAAGAACATACCCATTTTCTGGGCGCTGCCAAGGAGGACCAAGAACCGGTCCTGCAGTAGCCCGAAGTTTAACTGGTGAACTGTTTATCACATCAATCTCAGACTCCTCGCCAGGTTCCAAATAAGTGACCTGAGAAATTGTAAAACTGCAATAATCATGAACAGTCAATATCATATCATAACATTGAGCTTGTTAGGGGAATCCATCCAATTGTTTCTGAAGCTAAATTGGATTTAGCTGTGTACACATCATGCACGAGTAAATGATTAATTCTTAAAAATGAAACTATATTTATGTCCGTTCACAATTCAAATTATGCTTAATTGCTGATGGCTATTCTCCTTTCATGAGAGCAAATAAACTATTTACATTCCAAGTGCACGGAGAAGTACAAAGTATGGTAGCAACATGGTACAGGCAAGTAGCAAAGACTCCTTGATCAAACTAATGCACTACATCTCACATGGTTTGGGAAGATACTTCATTATTATGTGATCATATAGAATTTCTCCATATCCATGATAACACTAAAGGCAGAAGACAGGAGATTAAATTCATGTTCTACTCTTTTACCCGCAACTTAATTTGCAGGGTATATTCAGCTTTGCAAATTATGCTTTTGTTAGAAGCTCCATTTACCTCAATTCCTAAAATGGCATCCATTCCCAGCTAAGTGAGTGGGCCAGTAAAACTGAATGAACTCAGTTTGGACAGCAAATCTGAAGCATGTGATTAGCATTGATTAATTGTGGATGTGCAAATCATTTATGTCCCTCTAGTTTAGTGTTAAAACACATCAACCAGTAATGTGACACAATTTAGAAAAGATGGGCAGAATATCAAAAGATGACATATTAACTTGCAAAAGGAAGGTTTTCTGGGCATAATATAACATCCCAAACCAAAGTAGCTAATCTTGTCTGCAATTTGAGGGCTGTCTATCACATCAAACAAAACCAGACAAAAGTTATATCTGGAAAGAGCAGAGCACGTCCAGATTGAAAGCGAGTTGATTAAGCATTCACGCAGTATACAAGGCAAAGATCAATTAGGACACCTCTGATTTACTTACATTGCTGAAAAGGGGATCCAACAATGGCTTGGCATTGGGAGTTGCTATAACTCTCAGACCTGGATATTTCTGAGAGAGGGGCTTTAAGGTCCTCAAATGACAGTGATCATCAAGGCTTTGTGTAATTAATAAGCAGTCAATTTGAGGAAGATTGTCAAGCTGCACTAAGACCACACATGATCAGAACAATCTTTATCAAACCCACCCCCAAAAATAAAAAACTAAAAAAGAAAAAAATGTTTTTAAGGACTAACAGGATACGAATAAATAATACTCAAGTAGCATTATTTAAAGAAAGATACCTGGAAATTCTTTAAAACCTTCTTAGCAGCATCATAAAGCCAAGGAATTCCAAAATCCAAGTTCCCAACTAAGATTGGATCAACCAAAATTTTCACGTCTCCAACTTCCCACAGCCAACTGTTTCCCTACACCCAACTTTAAAGATTTTAGCAACTAACTTCAAACCGCCCAAAATTACAGAAAGTCAGAACCCCAGATGATGAAATGAATGACCCACCTCCAAATAAGTGAGTCTGAATAAACCAGTTCCACTAGAACTTGATTCCACAGCACTTTCTTCAGAAACCACAGCTGAAAGACCTCTATCCAAACTGCAAACCAAGTCCCCAGTTCGACAAATCTAGTAGCACTATTAAATAACCACATTCAACATTACAAAAAAAAAAAGAGATAAAAAAATTGCATGTCATACCTAGGTGAGGATTGCTTCAGTGAACATGGGCTGTTAAAAAGTGGGGCTTTTTTAGGCGAAGTGAAATTAATAGATGAGAAAGGAAACATGGGCTTTGTTGTACATTGTCCAAAAGTGAGGTGAGTAGTAAAACACTTGAATTGAGCAGCCATGAACTGAATTGTTATGCTAGAAATCAAGAAGATTCATAAAGAAAGCTGATATTTTGGGAAGGTTAAAGATTCTTTCACTGACACTTATGCGAGGTTAACTTTTTAACTGATGGTTTGGTTTGGGGCTTTGCGGTTTGTGAGGTCCAATGATGTTGTCTGAATATCGATGATGTTCCCGCGACTCCGCGAGCTCCCTCAACTCCTCAAATCCTTGTGTGCTGCACAGTACCATAACCGCCCATATTTGAAACGTGTCCAATATCTAGCTACTAGCATCTGCTTTTCGAAAAATAAAGGAATTTTCCTGACCTTGCATTTTCTTTTTTTCACCTCTTTTTTTTATTGTTATATGCCCATTTAACTGGTTTTCATGTTGCCATCTGTCAAATTTTCACCCATGATTCCATCTTAGTTTGGCTTCTGGGCCTAGCTTGAACCTTCTCTTTTCAATTTCATCCATCTTTTGTCCTGGATACGAGTGGTTTCCCTTTTGGTCTTCTTTTTCTAGCATATTCGACATGTCTTTTCCTCCCCCCTTTTAGATCCATCCAACATTTTGTGTTGCCTGTTGCATAGGTAGCAGGACCTTTTAAGCAGGGAACGGGTGGAAAGAGACCATTTTTCACTTTTTGGTGGATAAGGTCCGGCGTTGGCTAACAGCATCAGCCTTGCCTTACATTTATTACCAACCATTTTTAATTGACTCCCTATTGCTGAACTAACAGAAGCAGCAATGCTGTTCTTCATCAGTTGCTGGACATGCATACATCTATTTTCTATGGATATTTGGTATAACAATTGTTCTTCCTAGGTTCACCTAATTCAGCTGTCTTGCTTCAGATCAGATTGTAAATTGTTGGCATGTGTAAACTTACATTACAGTGCGGTAGCATCATTTATGACAGGTTCAAGCATGCATTCTTATTAAGATGCAGCACTGCTACTCATCAATGAACACAAGAAAAAGAAAGAAAGAAATTTTAAAGCATAAAAACTACGACCTTAAATTTACATGATCGCTCCCAATCTATATACACTTCAAAAGTTGCACGGCCACTCACTTGAGCAACAAAAAAAACCAAGATCAGAGCCTAAAAAGGGAAAAAAGAAGAAGATATTGGATTTCCTCGGTAAAAAATCGTTGCAATGTACTATCGTGAATTTTCTTGATTCCTACTCATTCCTCTGAAGGCAAGAAACAAGTACTGTACAATTCATAAGTTATACTTGTTTGAAAGCCAGCGTTTTCTCCGACCTCTGGGGTTGATAAGGTGTAGAAGTTACAATCTTTATTGTCTCGGGCAGGGGCAGCTCATGCTTAGTGACGACTTTTTCATGCCAGACAAAATCATTTTCGTGTTCGTACTTTCTAAGTAACTCTGTCATTTCCTGGACTAACTGTTTATAAACTAAGCGCCATGCCTCTCCTTTAGGAGTACTCTTTCCGATACTGGTTAATGCATGCCGTAGTAAACCAGCGGCAGCACCAATCTTCCCATCTACCTTTAGGCTTTCTGCTATGTACTTGTAACTCTTCAATTCATGTAGCATTCGGCAACTTATAATGAAATCCTGCATTAGACAAAGAAGATCATCAGAAAATTCATCAACTACCACCAGAAGGAAGAAACTTGCCAAGTAAAAGTAATAAAAAGAAGATAAAATACATGATTCGTTATCTAGCAAGGATCTTGTTTTTTTTTCTACAATTCCCAGAAAAAGAGAATGACAACAGTAAGTTCCAGACTTGCAAAGTAGAAATGGCGCTCTTTTCTTCACTAGATGTCTTATTTGAAAGCCAAGACTCTTTATCCACAAAAGGTCTAGTTTTTCTCCGCAAGCTAATGGATCTCAAGAGTTCTGGTTCCACAATTCTATCACTAACATAACTCAAAATGCTATGTTGTAATCTTTCAGATCATTCTGATATTCAAATCAGCAAACAAACACCAGGGTACACTGACATTATTTCGTCCAAAATGTAGACGAACTCATTATTCATTTAAGAAGATCATAAAGCCACGCAGGTCCTGAAATAAATACACCCACTTAGACTTTCATCCAGACCTCATGCTAGGAATACAGACCAGATTTCGAGACTATTATAGACCATTAGAGTGCTTCAAGTTCCGGTTTGCAACCCTTTAGTGCGTTCATCTATCCAGTAGTGATTAATAGACAATAAATATTAATCAGGTCATCTTTACCAGAGTTGTTATGACGAGGGAAAAGATGGAATTCTACTCATTTCATCCAAGTATTCAGAATATTTAAAAAAATTAGATGCAGTCACGGCACAAGCCACAAAAATATATATTGCATACCGCAAAAGGTGATGAAATGTCTTTGCACTCTTTGGTAGCTGAATGTAAAATAACTAAAGCTTCATCAAGGAAGTCTCTAACACCATAGTGCAACTTAGCCAAGAGGTTTTGAGTGTTCCCCTTTTCTTCAGCCCTCCTTGCTGCCACAGCCTAAAAATTTTCAGAAAAGATGTTCAGTGATGATCAATCCACGCATTTTTGTTCACTGACAAGAATATGCAACAACATTCATCCGTGCAGTGGTAGAACTGCTCAATTTAAATAAAGGGCACCAACTTAGTGTTAGTAGCTGCTGTACGAAACCATGAAAACTAACCTGGGCCTCTGCCAGGCAAACAAGGCTCATAACTGAGGACACACTTGGTACAGATTCTGGAGGCCGTTCTGTTCTCGCGGCAAGCTGTAACGAGGGAAGAACCTCATGAGCTAAGTGTTGATAGACTCCAGCAGCTTTTCTGAAAAGAGCGGCAGATTGCACCAAGTCTGACAGAAAGTTTAAGAAATTAACACAAGCGTCTCAATTAAAATGAACTTCTGGAATAAGGACGGACTACAAATTGATGCAAACCTGTTTGAAGTATTTCAAGAGCCTTTTCTCGAAGCAATGAACCATATAGGAAAAGAACCATTCCAAGCTCAAATTGCACGTAATTGATTTGAAAATACTTGGGACTTTTAACATGAAAGATAGATGATGAAATGAGAGGACTGGTCCACCTTAACTTTAGGTCAGACATCCAACGATCAACCCAAGGATTATTACGACCTCTATTAACGTGGTAAACCAGGTTCTCTAATAAAGGAAGATACTGTTCCAACTTCTGGATATCCTGTTGACAAGACAGACAGAATGACAACAATGTTCAATGTGTTACCAGGGCATTCTGGAATAAAATTTCCGACTAATTACGTGCCAGAGATAGCTTCTTGATCTACAAGTTCATAAACTACTCTATCCCTTAAAGCATTCAAGACCATTTGGTGGTTATGAACTTATGATGGGTACACATTTTGGCATTTCTACAAAATACTGTCAAATTTCTTGCGATAGAGCATATCTATAATTCTATTACCTGTTCACAGCGCAAAGTCAATCCCCCCGACATTTCTCTAGCAATAGCTTCTGTAACAGAGCTGCTCTCATTTATAGACTCCTCAATTGCTCTTCGCTTGGAGCTCATTTCTTTCAGTTGCTCAAGTGTACCAGAATCACAGGCCGGAAAAACTTCTTCAAAGACAACCTAAGAACATCAATTTTGCTTTTAAATAAGCACCTAATATACCGCAAAACAGTTCAGAACTAACTTTTTGTCAAGGAAGAAAACTACTATGCGAATAACAATTGATACAAGACCAATCAAAGCAAATGAGGTTAATGAATCTAGGCAAAGTTTTCTGCACGTTCATAGTCATTGCTAAATGATGGTATTCATTGTAGAGACTTGATCGTAGTTAGAAAAGCAAATTCAGCGCCACTTGCTTCCACAAAATCTAGAACTCCATATAATTTCCCATTCCTATACCAGATGATCGAATGCCAAAAGCAGAAGTGAAACATCTGAGTCCCCTTCCATAGCCTAAATGCCATTTCCCACACAAGCAACCATGCCATGCTTCATAAAACATGTAACAATATAAAAATTTCCTTGAAAAGGTATCAGCATTATTGATTCTTCCAACTTCCATGACCATCTCAAGATTCTCAACACGCTCATATAAAATCAAACATCATCGAGAGCTACAGAAACACAATCCTTTCAACGAATTAAACAAGCGAATTTGCATCAAGTCAAAAATCAACATTTTGACTCACGGGGCAATTTTCTTTTCCAACTTTAATCCTCCCAAGCACAATCTTGTCAATCCAAATTTACCATTTCAATGCGCAAACTATATATACAATAAGCTAACGGGGAGAATATAAGTGCTTCATTTTTTCAAGAGAGAACACAAACGAACCGGACAAATTGATGAAAAAGAGATCATATTGCAATTACACATTGTCAAATTCTTCAGTTGCAATATGTTAGGCTAGAATCAACTGTCATGTTGGTGAAATGTGCAAATAACTGTCAGGAGCAGGACTCAGTACCAGAGGCAAATAAATCCAATGCAGCACATGAATGTACTAAATTACTGTGATTTATGAAACCTCAAAAGAAAAATTAAGAGCAATAATATGTTCAAAGAAGGGAACATACCTGCTTTGTTTTGAACTTTGACAGGCCTGGACAACTTATCATCATCTTCTTACTCTTTTTCGATGAACCCCACCAATTACATAACAAAGAAACTAAAAAGATCAAATAATTGCGAACTTTTGTGTTTCTTGGTGGGCTCGCAATACTCCAACAAAACCTTCAACAAACAAACGATGCAGTCTTTACTTTTGTCCCTTATCGAAGAAGCGGCAATTCTGATTGAATACTCTCCCAGCAACCCGCCTCAAATATAAGCCCTTTTTCAAGTTTAACGCCTCCAATCCCCCTTCCTATATGAACCTGGAAAAGGGTCTTGCGGCGTTGAGTTGAAGCTTCAAGTATGAAAATTTATCGCAACTTCTGACTCAACCACCTGGAAAAATAACCAAACTTTTTTAAAGATTGATTGATTGTACAAAGTCTCTGACTTAATAATTACTTGGAGGGAGTCGCTTTGGATTCTGCATGAGTGTTTTTCTGGGATTTTTTACTACGTGAATGTGATATTTTGGGACCATTAAAGGAATAATTGCCATTAATAATCATTGATCGGGTCCTTTTCTCATCAATATTCACTCAGGATAGCGGATACGGATTAGTTTCCTTCTATGCCAAGAATACTAATCCCGTTGGAAGATGTATTAATCACAACGGTAGTTGACCCACGGTAGCTTCCCGCGGGTCCACGGTGCTCATGTAACTTCTTTTCTTTGACTTCTTCAAGCCCAATGCCTTCGTGAAAATTAAATAATTATTATGATTAACCTTACCATGGTGGTACATCTAAAATCAGCATCAAGTTGATCGATCATCGTCGACCTTTTTCTCCTTCACACAAAGGAATTTGACATTTATTTAGATGAATTAAAAGGTTGGCAACTAAACTATAAGGACTAAATTGAAACTCCCAAAATAATTTCGGGACTGTTTCATCAATATGTCCTTTTTCTTCCAGTAATATACCCACACGGGCAACACTCGTTAACACTCCTCTGCTTTACATTACAGTGAAAAGGATTTCTCTCCATTACATTACATCTCAATAAAATTAATTTTAAAATTAACTTTTAAAATCAACACCACTTATAATATATTTTATTATTTGTGTCAGTTATACATAAAATTTCACATGAAATTGGCCAAGTTTTACTGATTAATGATTATAAATTTTATTATAATTTTGACTCATTTTTTACCACTTAAATGTTTCGCATAAATTAATTATCAAAATATTCTCAAAATAATATTAATTTTTAGTATGTTGATTTAAAGATTAAAAGAAAAATAATGACACAATCAAATGATTTTATAGAGTTATAAAATTTTTGATATAAATAAGTGGAGGGATAATGAAGAGAAAATCATTGGAATGATCCACGTGTAATCAGTTGCATTCTAGATCAAGGAACACGGAAAATTTCTCTTCCTGTTCTCCTTCCAAGTCTCACCGCTTTGCTATCTTGGTCCACTCCAACTTTGCACCCACTCCCCCAATTTTTTTAGTACTCATCACTTTTTTTTTTTTTTTTTTTTGGAAACAAGTACTCATCACTTTAAACTCTAGAGTTATCTATAATTACTATATAGTCTATATTACACTGAAAATTTTATTTTTAAATCATTTTCATTCAAAAACTATATTATTTTCTCGAGTTATAGCTATCACACATTGACAAGTGTTAAAAATGTATAAAAATAATATAAATTCAAAAACCATTTTTTCTCATTTTTCATACTGAAAATCGATATAATTCTGTATGAATAATTTTTTTTTGACTACTGAGATAAAAGTAGTAAGATGGTTTAAGACATTTTAATAAGTTTAGGGCTAAAAACAAAACAAAAATTGAAAGAAACTTTATAATTTGCCAAAATATAGAGGGCCCAAAATGAATTAGTCCTTCCGCCTTGTCATTCATCCAAGTGACGTCAGTCGAAATTGGCTCGTTCATCTGCATCCTTTTTCTTTTTCTATTTACTTTCAATTCCTTGCCTATAAAGCCCCAGTCGGACTACTAACTGACATAATTCCTAAAATTTCACGCACTGAACACACAGTGCCGAGTGTTCCTATGGCGACGGTGGTGGCTACGGCAGCGGGGGAGCGACATCTGATCGTAGCAGTCGAAGGCACGGCCGCTGTTGGTCCATTTTGGCACACCGTCCTTTCTGATTACCTTGAAAAAGTTATTAGGTATTAGTACCATATCTTCTGCCCTTTTAGTTTTTCTTAATTTTTGTTCTCCTCGAAAAACACGCAAATACACACTCATGTGCGTGCAAATAACGAAATGTAATGCTCGCTTGTACCTAACGATCATATTTTTATTTTGTAATTCTGCTAATTGGAACTTAGTTGTAACAAAATAGTTTTAGTATCGCAAATCTTTTGTTTTATTTCGTAATCTGTTGACTGGTACTGTATAATTGTGGAAATTGCAAAATTGAGCTGGATTCTGGTTTACAATTTTCCATGAATATGCGTTGTGATTTTGGAAAGGAGTGAAAGTCTTGTTATTTCTTTCATACTATGATCAAGTGCAGTAATGTGATTTGTGATAAGCTAAATTCGAATAAATGAATGTGAACAATGTCTATCTGTTATTTATTGCAATTATTCATACTTGCTGACTCACTCAATTATGTTGTTTCTTCTGAAAATTTTTCAGGAGTTTTTGCGCGAATGACTCAACAGGCCAGGTAAGTGTGTTCACAAAATATTTGCTTTGGTCTTGTGATAGTCGTTTTTTGTATTTTTGTCTGTGCTTATTTCTCTTACAAGACTGTTGTCAGCCGTTGCCATGTAATTTGCTCTGGTTTGTCTTAACACATATGGTTTTAGCTTAGTTGATGATTGTGTTATTCTGATTAATTAAATTCACTACTTTATGCCTTAGAATTTGAATTCTTATCTTGCTGTATGAGTTTTTGCGCTGCTCTGTTTGAGTACGAGCAACATAATGCTAAAGTTGAACATATTCTTGAGAAACACAGGAGTAAATGTGACTGACCAGTGGAAGCCATGTTCTTCTTAGACCCTATCCATTAATTAGGAATAAACTGATTTTTCTTGTCATTTGTCTGGTAGAAATAGTTTTACAAACCTCACTAGGACTTCTGGTGAATATTTTAAACTTCTTTTGTGCTGTCTTTAATATTCTTCAAGTAAATCTGCAAAGAACTGCAAGAACTTGCTCCTGTCCTTGTCTGAGGCTCTGCTCCCATTTGCTTTTGTACAGACCTTCATGTTTCTTGCTTTTTATCTGATAACTTGATTAAAATAGTGTTCAATACATTTTACTGGGTTGCTGAGTATTGCCATGCTCTGTTCAACTTTGCAGAAGCTGTCTGCTGCCAATGTCAACCTCTCTCTGGTCACGTTTAATAGTCATGGTCCATATAGTGGTGCGTATTTCTATCCTCTTTGCCATGCTCAAGGTTTTTGTTTGCCTTTTATAGAGTTATTGACCCATTGAGTAAAGTGACTTGAGCTCATAACTCTGGTTGAATATCTTAATTCTACTCATCGAGGTTTTTTCCATCCCGTTTTCCTTATTTTACCTTTTCCTATGCAGCCTGTCTGGTGCAACGAAGTGGTTGGACAAGAGATATTGATGTATTTTTCGAGTGGCTTTCAGCAATACCCTTTGGTGGTGGCGGTTTCAATGATGCTGCAATTGCAGAAGGGCTTGCTGAAGCTTTAATGGTTTGGATTGATTTTTAGACTCTTCGTATTTCTTCGATGTTTTAATTATTGGTTTATTTTCTTGAAATGAATGAATTTTTTTTATTGCTAATCTAATATGTCTACTTTAAGAGTAGCAAGATTCTTGTTACGTGAGGGCAGGTGCCTGCTTGTGCAGTGTTAACTTTCTCTTAGTTTTGTCCCTCTTCAAATTTCTGTTAACTAGGGACTTGCATGATCAAAATTTTAACTACAACTGCAATTTTGAATCTTACCAGTGGTCAAATTTCCTAATCTTTGTCAGTTTAGATGGATTTATCTGTACTTGGAAGTGATTCATAGTTAAATCTATAAGACAGACATTTCCTCTAATGCTTTTTTCTTCTTTCTGTTGTCATTTTTGATCTTTTGTTTATAATTTCATAAGATAAGGTGATCAGGGCAGTTTGTCATAGAAATTTCAGTTTGTTGTTTACAATGATGTTTGACCTTGTTTTGTTAGACAAGGTTATTGTTTGTTGGTTTTATTTTGGAGTTGATAGGATTTGATGCAGGAGCTTTACAAGGGTTACACGGTATATAAGTTACAATTCCTCAATGTTTCTGTTCATGGATATAACTTAAAAAGTTTTGGCTATTTCAGTGCTCTGAGTGATAATAAAATTCTGATTTCTCTTGTCTGCATGTTGACAGCTGTAGTTTTAAGTTGATCTTATTCAATATTGTATTTATTGGTTTTATGCTCCTAATTCTGGTACAAAAACGACTCTCTTGGTATATGGTGTACAATCAATAGTGTGCTGTGCTTTTCAAATGTGTAGGCATATACTTTGTCCAATCTCATCACTAACATGTTGAGATCTATGAGAACTCCCTATTATATCTACTTTCAACTGGAAAATGATATTACGATAAAAGACTATTCTGATAAGTTACACGTATTGATTCAAGAAACTAATTTTCTGAGGAAATTTTCGCGTGTTATTGCAGATGATTTCTTCTAAAAATGGAAATCAAACTCAACAAAATCTGGATAGCCATAAACACTGTATCCTTGTTGCTGCCAGTAACCCTTATCCATTGCCTACACCGGTTTATCGGCCGCGACAGAATGTTGAGCAGAGTGAGAACACAGAAATTCAATCAGACGGTCGACTTTCTGATGCTGAGACAGTTGCAAAGTCATTTGCTCAGGTAGTGACAGAGTTGAAGCTTCCTTTTTCTTGGTCATTCTTCATTGTCCTACAGTCCGTTTTGAGCAATTACAGAAGTTATCACCGTTCTTGCAGTGCAATATCTCCTTGTCAGTTATTTGTCCAAAGCAGCTTCCCAAGCTAAAAGCAATTTATAATGCGGTAAGTGTGGGAAATATACGCAATTTGTTATTAATGAGTTTAAATATTGATAATGATGAAAATCAAGAGTATAGCTTATGTAACATATTCCCATTTACCAAAGAAGATTCGTAGTTGTTGTGTTTTATCATCTTTTTTTTTCTGTTTTTTATTTTTTTTATTTTGTTAATACAGGGAAAGCGAAATCCTCGAGCGCCAGATCCACCTGTTGACAATGGCAAGAATCCTCATTTTCTTGTTCTCATATCAGAGAATTTTATAGAGGCTCGTGTGGCTTTAGGTCGCTCAGGAATGACAAATATATCAACACAAAGCCCTGTTAAAGTCGATGCAGCTTCTGTTTCTGGGCCACCTTCGACATCTGTTCAGTCAGGTTTTTTTTTGCTTGGAAACACTATTTGCAGGGCCTCAATCATTTTTCACAGATCCAAATTTCTAACATGGATGAAAAGATGAGGATGAATTTGATGTTTGTGGTCATTAGTCAGGGA